AGAACCAATGGAATAACTATATGTATGAAGATATTTATTACTGGAATTATATCACATGATCACAAGGCAGCAATGTCACACCACACACTCTCTGCAAACTGAAGAAACAGCTGAAAGACTCAGAGAAGCCGGTGTATTTCTCACCTGAAGCCTGAAGAGGGCCTTTTGGAGGCTGCTGGTGGGGTCTAGAACCCAAAAGTGAAGAGTGTCTAGCTGGAGAGGTGCAGGGGCCAGAGCCAGCAGGGACAAATGCAGCCAAAGGTCAAGAGAAGAAGAGGTGGAACAGGTAGAATGTAAAGAGTGGAACAGGCAGCATGCTCGGGGAAGGAGAAAGAATGAGACAGATAAAAAACAATCTCCACTCTCTCTGTTCCTCCCACCCCAGCTGAATGGAAGGTGCCTGCCCACATTGAAGGCAGGTCTTCCTTTTTCAGCCCACTGATCAACATGCCAATTTTGGCAGAAACACTCTCATAGACCTACTTAGAAACAATGTAAGTAAGCATATTTTCAATCTAGTCAAGTGGACACCCAAATCTAACCATCACAAGATATTCTGGATCTCGATATTAATACGTAGTATAAAACTTTTATACCTCAGACAGACTGCAAGTACAGTTTGGGCACAGAAGGACACCCTTGCATATCTGCATCAAGATCTGTGTATAAGAATATTCACCGGCCAGCTGGGCACATGGCGATGAAGGCGACTTGAAAAAAGAATGCTCACAGCAGCATTGCTGGAGTAACTGAACCCTGGCAACTATCCAAGTGTATTTCACCTGTAGAATGAATGAGTACTTCTAGCATGTTCATAAAAGGGTACATAACCTTGAATAAGAGACTCCCAGAAAGTGGAAAAAAAAAAAAAAAAAAAGATGTGCGAAAGGTCTTCCAAAAGTGCATTTAAAAAGTTGTATGGTTCCCTGGTACAGTTATATATTTAATAAGAAATTCTTGCCAAGCCTAAGTCCAAAGTCCTCTCCCCATGGTAATTGTATTCATTTTCCATTGCCACTGTATCAAATTACCACAAGCCTACTGGCCTAAAACAACACAAATATATTTTCTTGTAGTTGCTGAGGTCAGACACCTGAAAGCAGATTTAACCTTGAGCTCAAATCAAGGTGTCAGCAGGGCGACTTGACTGGTGTTTTCAGCTGTCCGAGACCACGGGCATCCTCAGCCCATGCCCGTCTGCCTTCCGTCAGTGGCGTAGCATTTTCAAACCTCCTGTTTCTTTTGTCACAGCATCTCTGTTTCTCTGGTCTAAGGTAACCTCTTATTAGGTGCCTTGTAGTTATAGTGAACCCACATAAATAATCCAAACTAATCTTCTCACCTCTAGATCCTTAATCACATCTAGAAAGTCCCTTCTGCCATATAAGGTAACATATTCCCAAATCCCAGAGATTAAGACTGACATTTTGGGGGGTGGGAGGGAATGGAGGCATTCTTTAGTCTTTTATAATGATATTTCAGATTATATTGGATATCAACGCATTCAAAAACTCTCATATTGAAGAGAAAAAAATTTGCTCCAAAGCAGTCTATCAATGTCTATAAGACAATAGCACCAAAAAAAAAAAAAAAACTGTTTTAAAATTTGCATTTCATCATCACTAACAGACATTAATTAGCACCTCAGCATTGAGGAATAAAGGAACTAACGACATAGGCTCCTGTCAGCTACTCGTGTTTTTGTGTAAGTGATAATCCCTTCAAATGGTACTTCTACAAATTTTATGTATAGAATCTTTTTTCCATTTACCAAATTTTAACAACTTTTGATACCCCTACAGTCAAATTATACCCAGTAAACTTCTTTCATTAACTCAAAAACACTTTTATTGTAAAGCCAGTAAATGACTTGATGGTTAAGGCATTGGTTCCTCATGGCCGACTCCACAGTCCAAGTGGAGCTTGAAGCTTAACTATCACTCTGGGTGTGTGTACATGCCTACCAAAATCCTGAGAGAAGAATGGAGAAAGGATTATATCATGGCATCCCCCTTGGGGGTGATTTCTCACTTTCTCTCTCTCTTTCTCTTGTAAGCACATGTGTCCTCTAGAAAAAAAGAAAGAGAAAGAAAAAAGAAAGAGAGAGAGAGAACGAGAAAAGGGAAAAAATTTTTGGTGTAGAATTGGAAATAAAAACAAGTTAAGAACTATTTCTTTCCAGCAAGTATTATGTAAAAGGATAAAAATATATTTATTACAGTTCTTTCTTGTAAAATTCTCAGCTCCACTTATTTACATAGTCATCTATTTCATCACTTTTTCTCATAAATATTTATTGACTGCCTATTATGTGTCAGGAATTATGGCAGAATATGGGCATATACCATGGAAAAGGCAACATACTTACCCTTAGTTAATTTTTCATGTATGTAGTTTTATAAATAAGAGATGAAGATACTCTTACATACAGGAAAATACATAGTATGATAAGAATTTTAGCATTGAGGGGTCATCAGTTGGTGTGGTGGTTAAGATGCTGGATTCCCACATGGCTGATGGTTTGCGTGCCAGACTCAGGAGATTAAAAATCACATCAGGCCTCTGTGTGTGCATGCTCAAAATCCCAGGAGAAGAATGGAGGAGAAGGGATCATGGGGCGATTTCTCATTTTTCCTCTCACTGTCTTTCCAGCAAGAGCACATGCCCTATGGAGAGACTTGATGAAGTCCTTACCTTTCCTTGGGTGATTCAATTAAGTTCAAAGTGGAGGTATCCCTTCAAGATTATTACAGAACAGATTGACAGTAATATTCAGCTGGGCATGGCCAAGAAAAAGATATTCCTAATGAAAGAGTAATATGTGCTAAGCCAGTGATTCTCAGCTGGGAGGAATTTGCCCCCAGGAAACATTTATCAATATCAAGGCTTAGTTATAGTTGTTACAACACAATTTAAGGGAAAGGTTACTTTAGACCTTTTTATTTTTTGAGAGAGATTTTTGCTATAGGCTCACTGAAGAAATAGACAGAAAGCAAGAAGTCATCCCCCAGGGGACATGGGTATGTCACAACCCCTTGTCCTCCATTCTCCTTTCAAGATTTTGAGCATGCATGAATATGCACCCAGCATGAGTTTCAAGCCACCAGTTCTGGGATTCAACTCCATGGTCAACCACATGGGAGTCCAGAGCCTTAATCACTACACCACCTGACGGTCCCTTAGACCATTTGTTGTTGTTGTTGTTGTTGTTACTACAACTGAATACCATAGACTGGTAATTTATTAAAAATAAAGGATTATTCAACTCATGGTTTTGGAGGCTCAGGGTTGAGAGGCCACATCTAGTAAGGGTCTTCTTGATGATGGGGACTCTCTTCCAAGTCCCAGGGTAGCTTAGGACATCACATGACAAGAGGACAATGGTGTCAGCTGTTTTCTTTCTCTCCTTAAAAAGTCACTGATATTCAATCACAGGAGCCCCACCCTGATGATCTCAGGGTTGGGTTGCCTGGAAAGTCATGATGCATTTTTGCATAGAAAAATACGTCAAGACTTTACTGATGACCTAGTAATACTAAATACTTCTCAAAGGCCCTTCCTCTTAAAGCCATAGCTGGATTAAGTTTTCACCCTCTTAATGCTCTTACAATAGTATCAAAATTTCAGTGATATATTTTTGGGATATCATAGCAAACTCTAGCAGGAGCGCTACTGGCATCTGGTGAGTACATACTGAGGATGCTGGTAAACCTTTTAAAATACATAGAGCAACTCTCCACAACAAAGAATTAGTCCACTCAGCACACCAATAGTGCTAAATTTGAGAACTCCCATGCTAATCCACCCAAGAGTGAGATGGTATGTCATGTTCTAAAAATCACAAAAAGCCTCCTTTATGTCTGTTATTCATTAAGAACATACTAGAAAAGCAAGTTGAAATGAAGCTGGAGAAGTGGGTGGTGGGGGAAAGCTTTCAATAAATAATTAGAAGTAGCAATGATAAAAGCATTCATAAGGATATGAGGCAAGTTATAAAATATTCTCAATAAAAATAATATCATTAAAACGAATTCCTTACCAAAGCAAACTACTGGTGCATGAAGTCTGATGTGCTATGTACCCTCTCCAAAGAGATGCTCTTCCTCCAAAGAGTCCAGTGTGGAGATTATATTAATATAGTTACTATACTACTATGGAAAGCTGGCTTGGTTGATCATATTTCAAAATTGAGCCCCTAGTTTTCCAGTATGGATATGTTTCCTTTTTTAATTTGCCAGAGGGCACATATCAATCACCAGAGAGAAGAGAGAGAGAGAGAGAGAGAGAGAGAAATCACAAAAGCACCCCCATGGGGAATAGTCACACTATAATCCATTCTCCTCCATTTTTCCTTAATTTGGGGGTTCAGGGCATACACACACACATGGTTAGAGTGTTTCTTAAACCACTGGATCTGAAACTTGAACCATACAGTTGCCCACCTGGGATCTAAGTGCCTTAACCACCAGACACAGGTTGGCCTTGAATATACATTTTATATTATGATCTTACAATTTAGAGATACATGATTATAATTTTCAAGATTTATGTACTTTCAGCGTCAAATAGAATTTCTTTCCAAAATACTTATTTCTTTCAAAGTTCCAGTAAATGATTCCACAAACCAAGACATATTTTTATGATTTGCTACCCTCATGATGTTGTGATAACTTCTGTAAGGACGTATAAAGCAGTATTCAAGATTTGAGAGTATCCACAAAGCAGAAAATGTAATCTCCAAAACATTCCAGAAGTATTTTTAATTGTTTTGCATGCAGTGGAAAAGTTTTAGGAGCCAAGTAAAGCTTGAAATAAAATTCAGAGACTTCATTATATCATCAGCACCCAAAATCTATCAGAATTGTGTGGGTGTTTGGATATTGCTATTAAAAAATGCAGGAAAAACTATTTTAGTGCACAGTCCCCTTGGAGAAGTATCTTGTCAATTATGCTGAATAGTAGTGTGGTTTTCAATGTGTAGAAAACAGACAGGGACTGACCTTAGACTCCTTGAAGCAATGAGCTCAGCTGGCTGTAAACCCAGATCCTTAGGGTGTCAAGGCAGCTGTTGTGCCCTCTGCATTAACTAGCTCCTGTGTGTTTACTTCTATCGATGTCCTATATTGTGCTTTCTCAGACAGAAGCCATCGGTCTCAGGTTAGTGTCCTTGGTGTTAGAACTTTAGAAAATGTCATTGCAATTTAAGCAACAGTGATCAAAAGTAACTATCTTCTATCACCAGGAGCCAGTTCTAGTTTTTACACTAATCCAAAATAAGTAAAGAACATCATGTTCAAAGGAACTATTTTGTACAGGATTTGACTTTTAAGTCTGATGAATTTGTGGGTAAAAAATATTCCTTTTGATCTGAATTCAGTGGTTGTTACCTCATATCTGAAAAGAGTTAGTGGAATAGATAATAAATTAGATTAGAATGTAAAACTGAGAAGGTGCAAGGTAATAATGTCGCTAAAACTCTGGTCTCAGGGAAAGTCACATTCAAAAATTGTCCAGTTTCCAAGCCGCAGGAACCAGACTGCACACAGGAAGTAGAAATTTGAGATTTATAGAAGTCCTCTCTTTTGAAAATAATTTCTGGGTTTTTTTAGTCATTAGTAGAACTACTCAGATATCTTAAAGTCAACTTTCACCCTTTAATTCTCATTTTCTCATAAGATTTTTTTTCTAAGTCCAGATAGCCCTTTTTATTTTCTTAGACAAGCCCTGCAGAGCTGCCAGTCACAGCGGCATCCATGCTAGTCTGATGATGTGCTGACAGATAGAAGTCTGAATATTTGGTTTCTGTGGTTGGAGGTATTTATGCAGTTATTGACTTTCTTCCCTTAAGGTCAATATCAAAATGTATTCAAACAAAAAAATGGTATTCAAAAAATTCAGTTTTGACCAAGAAGTGAAAATAGACACATTATATCCGTGTGTGTGTGTGTGTGTGTGTGTATACATGTATGCACACAATGCTATCAGTTTATATGACAAAATAATTCTGAGAATGATAGTGGTCATAAAAATACATTCATCTTTTATACTTGACTGGAAAAAGAGATGATTTGAAAACGTTATTTGAAAAAATTTCCAGCGCATGTATTCCTTTTTGGACTAAACTGTAGCAAGACCACTGTATCGATCTAAAAATGAGAACCTTTGGAGATATCAATAATATCTCTAAATGATTAGTAAGGTAAGATTTAATAATTTACTTGTGGTACCATAGACTAGTCTTTGCTGGACTATCGTGTATTTGCAATTGATTTTCTTTGAGGTCTTATCGCACACTCTAAGATTGCGATATTTACTAGTATGTTCTGAAAAGGCCAAGGAAAATATGTATTGGTTAGCAATTTTCAATGGGAAATCAGCAGTCTTTAAATACTTATACTCAGTGCTCTAGCTCTACCATGTCAAACAAGTGATTACACTGGCATGTCACGATGCATTAAAATTAAAGGAGAAATTCTGTATTTCTTCTTGGCCATTGACCCCCAGTAATCAGAACTATAATTAATTAATTAAGGGTTGAGAAATGTAGGTCTACTTGGACAGTGATGCTTTTGCAATAATTTATTTACTATGAAAGAAGAGAAGGTAACTAGTTTTAGTAGCTAGTGGTTTCCACCACACAAACAGGTCTTAAAATTAATAATTAGCTGGTCTATTTTCTCTAGGATGTTTTATTTTCTCAAGAAATTCTCTTAAAATATCTATCTCCATGCAAATACACTCCCTTCGAATCTTCCTTACTGGCCATCAAGTCCCCCACCACCACACACAATCACTTAGGTACCAGTTAGTTCACTCATTCCACTCTTTTGTAAACTTTGCTAAAGCAGGAAATTTTAATTGTAATCAATAAAATAGCTATCTCTATCACACTTCCCCTTGTGTTTACAGCACATGTAACATTTTACATTAGTAATCTTGGATTTTGTTTTTTAAGGTATCTCAAAACTCAAAACTCTGAGCCTCAGGCTCCATAGTAACTGGATCCACCTTCCTTGTGATGTCTGTTCTTTTCTTTGGCTATTTTAAACATAAGAGATAACAGTAGTTCAGCCTATTATAATTAAGGTAGAAGTTATTAAAATGAGTAAGTTCCCTATGTTCCTTTCAGTCCAAGGTTCTTCTCTTTATGTGAGTGTTAGCTGTTTCAGAGTCTATGGATCGATATTTGTTGCCTAACAACGATTAGTATCCTAAATGGAATTGTGGCAACTGAAAATTGTCTTTCTTTGGTTAGTGGTCTAGCTTGTTATATCTAGTAAAATATGGTATCCATAGCAACTTGATGTTGACTTGTAACTTTTGAACATTTTTTTTTATTTACATTGTTATGACTTATAATAGCACTAATAACCTCCCAGTTAGGCATTTTCTGGCCATTAGTAGCAGGTTCCATTAAAAGCCCCTAGCTGTACCTGAGACCACCAATGTTTTCAATTCATCATTAAAGCCAAGAACATATCCATTTTGAAGGTCATTATTGCTTAAATAATGCCTTGGAAAGTTAAGCAAGGCTAGCAATTAGGTCGGCTTTTAGGTGATTTTAGAATGTCATCTGAACACCACTGTCAAACAGAAAGAACAATAATAATGGAAGCCGATGCCACTGATGAAACTGAAGAATAGGTAAAAATTTCTCTTCAGGTTGTTGGCCTTTTAAAAATAGCCTTGAGCCTTTAATGATGTGAGAGCTATATACAGTCTGGAATTATTAACTTGCTTACTCGTCCTTAGTCTCCCATTAAAATTCCACCCACTCTTCTTGGAACTGTCTGCCCCAGAATGCCTTTCCTGCTGTGTTAATTACCTTGCAAAGTCAAGAGTATCACTGGCCTGTTTATGTTAATTGCCCTTGGTGATTTTACAAGTGAGAAAAAGAAGAGAACCGAAAATTAATGTGAAAAGCTCTTCAGTTCTCTTATGAACAATCAATTGGTCTCATTTTTAACAATTGAGGAGTCATTTAATATATTTTATTTCTCCTTTAAAAAAAACATACTCTATAATAGAAAGGTAAGGAGTTATTTTGGGCTTGATATACATTTTTTTTCTTATTGTCATTGTACCTATTCACCTACTTCATTGAAAACTCATCTGACCCTCAAAAGCTTTTCTCTAAAACATAAACTGTTTAAAAAATTACTCATCTTCTACAGATGATAACCTTTATGTTTTGCTTTTCTCATAGTAATTCTCTTTCTTGTTCCTTCCAAAGCTAACCTGTTAAGGCTATAGGCCATAGTCACCATTCTCAGACTGCATTCTGCCTTCGTCCCTCAGTATACCACAGTCTGTCCACCACCTTACCATTCTACAGTATCACTTCAGCTAATGGTACCATAGATATTGTAAGGAATGAGCTGACCACACGAGAAAATAGAAATGTAGAGCCTTTATTGGGAGCTCTCCCAGGTGAGGTTCTCCAGTTGGACAGAGAAAAAGAGAGGGAACCAGAGAAGTCATGTCCTAGTTCAGGGTTAAGTGATTTTTATAAGGGTATAGGGAGGAGAAGTGCCTTAGAGGTGGAAACAGTCCATGTATGGTAAAGGTTTAGAGAGAGAGCTGACTGCTGTGCCACATAGGGTCTGGTGTCATGTGCAGAGTAGAGCGCTATGTGCTACATAGATCTGAGTGCAGCGTAGGTCTGTGCCATAGCAAATAGTAGAACGCCATGTGCTACACAGATCTGAGTGCAGCGTAGATCTGATGACAGGCTAGATCCAGGTTGTATCAACCGACTAGGGCATGGCATCCAACTCCCACATCCAAGCTACCCAGGCTTCTGGCCTAAGATCTATATTCATCAGAGATATAGGTCTGTAGTTTTCCTTTTTTGTTGTATCCTTATCCATTTTGGGAATGAGGGTAATGGAGGCTTCATAGAATGAGTATGGAAGGGTTTCTTCCTTTTGGATCTCTAGAAACAATGTGAGTAGGATAGGGTTACCTCTTTAAAAGTTCTATAGAATTCAGCAGTGAAGCCATTGGGAACTGAACTTTTCTTTGTTGGGAGGTTATTTATTACTGATTCAATCTCATTGCTTGTTATAGGTCTATTCAGGCTTTCAATGTCCTCTTGAGTCAATCTGAATAGATTATATGTCTCCAGGAATTTGTCCATCTCATCTGGTTTTTTTGTTTGTTGGTGTATAGTATCTCATAGTATCCTCTAATATTTTGTATTTCTGTTATGTAGGTTGTAATGTTGACTGATTCATTGCAAATTTGATGTATTTGGTTCCTTTCTCTCTTCTTCTTAATTAGTCTAGCTAATGGTGTGTCAAGCTTGTTTATCTTTTCAAAGAACCAGCATTTGCTTTTATTTATTTTATGTATAATTCACTTATTTTTCTATTTCATTTATTTGTGTTTGAATCTTTACTATTTCTTTTCTCCTGGCACTTTTTGGCTTTTTTTGTTTTTGTTTTTCCAATTCCCTGAGACATGATGTTAGATTGTCCATTTGCCACCTTTCCATCTTTTTCTTGTGCACACTAATTGCTGTGAACTTCCCTCTTATGACTGCTTTTGTCGTGTCCCATAAATTATGGAAACTTGCATACTCATTATCATTTTTTCCATGAATCTTTTGATTTCAATCTTAATCTCTTCAGTAGTCATTTAGAAGTAGGTTATTTAGTTTCCATGTATTTGTGTATTTTTAAGGGTTTTTCCTGAGATTAAAATCAAGTTTAATACCATCGTGATCAGAGAAGATGGATATAGTTTCTATGCATTTGAATCTGTAAAGGTTGATTTTGTATCCTATCATGTGGTTTAGTCTTCAAGAAAGTACCATGTGGGGCTGAGAAAGATGTACATTTTGTGTTTTTTGGGTGGAAAATTATATAGATGTCTATCAAGTCCATCTGATTTATGGTATCCTTTAGATACTGGATCTCTTGCTTATTTCTTGTCTCATTGGCCTGCCTAAAGGAGATAATAGGGTGTCGAGATCTCCAACATTTATTGCATTACAGTCTATCTCTCCTTTTAGATTTCACAGTCTTTCCTTTACATATTTGGGTGCTCCTAAGTTTGGTGCATAGATATTTATAATAATTATATCTTCTTGGTGAATTAGCCCTTTTACTACTATATAATGCACTTCTTTGTCTCTTCTTATGGTTTTTGTCTTAAAGTCTATTTTG